TTTTTTTTTTGTCGTTTGGTTGAGGGCGCAAAATTTCATTCAGACTGCCAATGAGCAGGCCGGGAAAACATGTTCCAAAGCAAAGTATTTTCTCGAACTGCTTATATATCCACTCAAAATTCCATCAAGCAAATTCGCTTGTTTATTTAAGTCGAAGTTGCCCTGGTTTACTGCTAGATTCTGGAGTTGTGCTCATATCGATTGTTTCAGTAAGCATTCAAATGCCTACAGCTTTCTTTAAAAGATAGTGGTTGTACTGTTATAAATGATTATTGTGCAGATGCATGATGGTATTATTTTCTTTCAAAGCCTGATCTTATTTAAGGTCGCCAGATGTGAACCAGCACATTCGAGCGGGTGATTTATTCTTTCCATCGATAGCCGATTTGTCCTGTTCATTAGGCGATTACGACATGCTTGATGATGCGAAAGTGTGGCCCTCAGAACGCGAAACTCTGCCACAGTCTTTTCTCAGCACCGAGCAGTTTGTCGATGCCCGACCAGAAGTGGAACAGGTAAAAATAGCAGTTCTGTTCTCTGCGATATCTCTTTTGCGAACTATGGGTTCATCAGGTTTGGTGGTAGCATTGCGGGGAAGCTAGCAATGGCATCGATATGATGCGAATGTGTACCACAGTAAATGACTGTTAGCTATTTCAGAGGACGTGTGATCCTTTCGTTATTTACTCCGTTATTTTCACTAATCGCAGCACGAGCAGATTTACATTTCTGTATTCTTTTTTGCTGGAGATGTTTATTTTATTTATAAATCTGCAGGCTGATGAGCAAGAAGCTGTAATGAATTCGGTGAAGCCAAAAAGAAGCTTATTTAGCCGTTTGAATAGAGCAGCGAAGAATATCTCTCGCTTTGAATCTCGTTATTCACGTCCAACTTCGTATTCCTCAACAAACTGGGACCTCGGAGCATCGAGCGAACAAGACAAGGTAGTTTTTACTATTAAAATGTTTTCTACAAGCTTGTGCATGTACAGGCTTTCTTAGCATTCGGCTTTAGTGAATAAAACGTATGGGAATAACAGAAGACGTGAGAAACGATAGGCCGAATAAACTCAATTTCACTTTATAGTTCATGCATCTACGCAACAAAGTGTGCATTCTTCTAGCAGCATCAAATTCCTAACCTTTAGCTTGAGATTTTTTTTTTTT